TTATACCAGTTTATAGCTTGGGAGGCGCTAGAATGGTATCAAAGTCATGAGGGCTTTCTGCCTAAAAGAAAATGTGCCTACGTGGAGGACATTCTGAGGGAACTGGCTCATATTCGCATTACACCTGGGGAAAACTACGAAAACTAAAGCCTGTCAGTTCGCTTGGGATCGAACATAAACCATGTCGAACTACCAGTATTCAGTGATCTTAATCACTCCGTCCCTGGTGGGAGTGAGTTCATTCAAGAATTTCGACGAACTGATTAGGCAGATGGACCATATCTAAAACACTATATCTCACAACACTGCATGTGTGTGGATGATTCTCTCCGAGAGCTCTTGTTTCCTTTTTATTAAAGAGTATATAAGAGACATCTTCCCATCAATATGATCCTTCCTGTATTTTTAATAGAAAAATAACATATAAAAGTTTATACAGTTTTTCATCCATTATTTAAGACAACATAAGAGAGTTCTATTTTTTTTTTTTTTTTTTTTTTTTTCAGAAAATAAAATTTTTTTTATAGAAGAAATATCCGTAAAATCAAACTTCAGAATAATAACGTATCTCTCCCTAAAAATTTTCTTTTAGCATAATAAAATAAAGAAATTACTTTTGTATTGAATTATTGGCTGATCACATAAGGTGATATCTGTTGCTGTTATTGTGACTTTGTAGAGACATTAGGTATTTTTTTTAAACCAGGAGAGATGAAAAATGAGCAATGCCCCGCCGGGACTGGAACCAGGGACCTCTCGATTTCACGTCGAGCGTGCTGACCACTACAACATTAAGGCATGCTAAGAAGGCGGGAGAAATACCTTATATACGCCCCCTTTAAAGGGCGACTGGGGTTTTAGAGAACCCAGTCGCCAAATACTGGTGTTGAAGAATCATAATTCACCACCTTTTAATTCGGGCGCCACTTAAAGAATTACGAAAAATCCTAATGTCTCTACAGATATTAGGATTTTTTGAAGCAGGAGAGATAAAAAATGAGCAAAGCCCTCGAACCACGGACCTCTCGAATTCGCGTCGAGCTTGATGACCACTACACCACGAAGGCATGCTAAGAAGGCGAGAGAAATAGCTTATAACTTATCTGCCTTGTCTGACAGTAACTAGAATAAATCCACGACTTTTATCGCGATGAGAAGAGCATGGTTACTTCTGTCTTTGACATGAGTCAGATAAGTGAGTGTTAGACTTGATCACCAGATAGGTGATTGTTAGACTTTGCCAAGTTCCGTCCCACTTTTAAAGGGGAATTCTCCGGCGAAAGTGTCCTAAGGCCTCTCACTCCTCTTTCCCTACCACTAACGCAGAGAAAACCTTCTGCTTCTTCGTATTTTAAGTGCCTTTATACCGCAAACTACTATATATTCAAAAACGTCCCAGTCTTCTCCGGGATTCGAATCCGGGCCCATCGATACAGCAGCCAGTAAATTTAACCACTACACCGATCAGTCCAGGAAAGCGTTATCTAATGATTTTTATAGATCTTACTAATTGCACATAACGCATATTTACCTTACAGTTGAGATTTTTCTCAAACGAGCCCTTTACAAGTATCCAAGCTGTGAAATTTAAATATTTATCCACCCGGCATTAGGAAATTTATACTAATGTTCGAAAAAAATAATTGTATGATGTACTAGTGTTAGAGGAGAACCTAGTCAGTTACAAAAAATCATTCATCCTATTACGATAAGCACAAGGATATTTGAATAACTTATTTTCCTCATTTATTGACTAGAAACGGCTAAAAACTTCCAGACGAAGAAGTCCAGACGGCTAGAAAACTTGAGACAGTCGCATTCGGTCCTATCCTTCTTTATCCAGAATGACAGATATCTTTTCTTCATTATAAACTGAAATTGGCTGAGAAATAGAACCCAGCTATGAAATTCACGTTTTGGTGGATTCACTTCCCGAAAACTTCGAAGAAATTCAATTACGAAATAAATTTTTCAAACTACGCCGGATGTTGACATATTCACTTCTTTTCAGAATTCTCACTATAAAACGGATTTTCATTAATTTCGAATTCGTTGGGTATAGCAAAAGTATTCGTTATATCAGAAGTTATAGCTGCCGTAAGTAATCTTGAAATAATTTCTTTTTAGCTAAGAATCTCGGTACTTTAGCTTGAAATGCTTGAAATTTTAAATTATCCGATTTTGTACTAACACGAGTTTACTGTGTTAAAAAAGAAATTTATTTTCCGGTTTTGGATTCTTCAATGCGAAAAACTCTTGAAAAGGACATCTAAGAGAAATGGCTCAAATCCACGTTACACACGGGAAAATAACGAAAACGCGCATGTAATCAGCCTGTTCGCCTGGATTCGAACCCAAATCGAACTACCAGTGTTCACGACTGCTCGATAAGTAGTGTTCACTGCTCGGTTCATTTCCAGAAGAACTTTCTACGAAAACTGGCTGGTATTCAAGATGTCGAACTACCAATATTGAACGATCTGAACATGTTCCCAATTTAGTTAGATTTTCCTGGAAGAAGTGATTGGTGTATATAGGATTACATACAAATATATCCCATCAGATTGAAAGTTTATATAACAAAAGAGTTTATTTTACTATTTGTAGCAAACTATCATTGAAATGAGTCTGGTTTTGAAGAGACATTAGGTATTTTGGAAAAATAAGCAACGCCTACGCCGTGAATCGAACCACGGACCTCTGGAATACGCGCCCAGCGTGCTGACCACTACACTATGAAGGCATGCTAAGAAGGCGGGAGAAATACCTTCTATACTCCCCCTTTTAAAGGCCGACTGGGGTTTTTAGGGGACCCAATTTTTAGGGTTTTTAGGGGACCCAATCGCCAAATCCTGGGTGTGGAGAATGATCATCCACCACCCTTTTAGTTCGGCGCCACTTGTAGAGGTACTAGATATTTTGGAAGCAGAAGATGTGAAAAATGAACAACGCCTTCGCCGGGAATCGAGCCACGGATCTATGGAATACGCGCCCAGCGTGCTGACCACTAAACTACGAATCATGCTAAGAAGGCGGGAGAAATCCTTATAGTGCTGATGAACAGTTTATTCAGAACATATCTTCAGAATAGAGAGATTCATTATTTTTCCGAAGCTTATAAAATCCTTTAAAAAAGGATCACATATGCATTTTTTAGCATCAACTTAAAATTACTGTTAGACTACACTCTAAAACTTTAACACTTTTGTTCTTCTTTCTAGCCTGTTTTCAATTCATTAGCATTTAACAAAGTCGAATTATTCCCGAGTACCAGCTAGCTGCTTTTGCGACGAGCATATATGAACTCATAACATGTTTATATTATTTATGTATTACTGGTCATATTATAAAATCTAAATAGGAAATTCTAACCATCAATCCTTTATTTGCATATAAATTATCAAAATATATATTAAAAAATCATATATGAAACAAATTTGGTTGCAGTAGTTAGCTTTATATATAATTTTCAGATCATTAATTACTTAATAACAACATTATAAGGTATTTCTCCCGCCTTCCTAGCGTGCCTTCGTGGTGTAGTAATTCTGCACGCTGGGCCGGTACTCCAGAGGTCCGTGGTTCGATTCCCAGCGAAAGCGTTTGCTCATTTTTCATCTTGCCTGCTTCTACAAATACCTAATGTCTCTACAACATAAAGGAGGAAATGAAAGTATTTTCACGCTGGAAGAGTTTAGTTTAATTAGTAGGAACTACGAGAAACTTGAGAAAGCAGCAGCTGTCTCGTCAGGAATGGAAGTATGGATCTTCCGATTCTAGTCAGACATGCTTCGAATTAAGCCATAACAGCGAGGAAGGAAATATATGATAGTACCTTATATTCTTCCCTAGTTAAAGACCGAATAGGAAGTGAAAAAAAAAAAAAAAAAAAAAACCCTCAGTCCGCCAAATCCAGTCCACCGCATTTTAATCAGACGCCATTGCAGGGCTATTTAAATATCTCTGGAGCAAGAAACGGGACAAAAAGTCACCTAAAGTAATGCCCTCGCTTCCTACTGCTGGCCAGACAAGACATGCTGCCACTTACATCACGAGAGCACGAACAAGCGAATGTGATAGTTCTTCATACACTCATTTAAGTGGTACCGAGTAATGTTGAACTGACAGTCATTTAACTTACTATGGTTAAGATAACTGAATATAGCAAAACACGCAAGAGAGCCTAAAGGGATACCTTCGTGGAGTGTTTTCTGAGGGAAACTGACGCGTATGCATGTTAAACGTAGGGAAAACCACGGGAACAAACATGAGGCCAGTCCGTTCGCCTGGTTTCGAACCCAAACCAACCTGCCAGTGTCCAGCAGTTTTAACCACTCGGCCACTAGTGGGTCCTCATTTGCTATGATGTATAGCAACCATTAGCTAAATGGCTATGGAAGAAAGATTTTGCGAGCGAAATAATACTCTTCTTTTGCGGTCCCCCCGGGGGTCGACGTAGAGAACTCTGCGAAGCTACTGGCTAGGATCTGTACCTAGGCAGTCTCGGCCACGGGGGTATAAAATTTATGAACTTGGTGGTTCTGAAGGCTCTGGGAAAGGTCACTTATTGGCCGGCCCCGGAGTCTGGCACGTCCTAGCGCGGCGTGGTACTAGTAACCCGGGGTTTTCCCTGGGGTCGCTGGGTAATGTCCCGCTGCAACGGGCTCGCCCAAGCGACTGGTAGGAGCATTAGACGACCGGTGCTGCCTGGGGTGCGTCCCCAGGTGGTGCGCTGCTCTCCTGGAGGGGTAATAGTGGAGGTTGAACCACCATGACGTGCCCAAAGGGGGAGTGGACCCGGAATGAGATTGAGTTCTCGATACGGGGAATGCCTTAATCTTCTTCTTCTTCTTTTGCGGTTATTTTGTGATGGGTGTTTTTATTGCATACATACTTTTAATTAAGGAAGATAAGATTATCTGCAGAACACATTTCGCATCATTAAGGGATACTGTTGAACATTTTCATTCACCATAATTAATAATAAAATGCTGCCTCACCTTTTGAACGTAAATCTCGTTCTTGCTGAAGTGCTCTCTGTTTAGAAGACAAAAAGTGTAGTCAACGTAACATCTGGTACTAGCTGATGCGTTTCTTAAAATAAGATGAACTCCCAGCATTTTTGCATCAGAACGATTGAAGCTGACAACCCATCGATGGTAACCAAACGTAAATTCTTTAGTCGTGGCATCTCTGTGAAAATCTCTCGTCACAGATCGGGTGACAATAAAGGTGAATATTCCGGTTCCAGCTCGATCCTTAACACGCGTGAAACGGTAGAGCAGTGCCATCTAAGCATGAGTCGTGCCAGTGGACTGTTTCTCTGAGCTCTTGCTATTCATGGAGATCCAAGTCCTGCAATATCATAAGGAAGACGTTCAAATTTAAGTACACATTTTATAACGAAACATTAAAGAGAAATAGAGGCGGCAAAGTAAGGCATAGCGCAAAACTGTAGGTTTTATGCAAAACTCAACTTAGAACTGTAATTTCAGGACTCCTGTTTATAAATGTCTCATTTTGTTTCCCATTTTCCATGGTAATTAATAGGGATAAGAATGTCAGGTAAGTACACTGAACACAACTTCGAAAGGAGATATTCTGTTACAAATGATACGCAGTTTTAGCAATACTTTACATTAAGGTGTGGTGTGGTGTGGTGTATTTAATTATGGCAAAGCACACTAGGGCTATCTGCCTAAGGGGAGGGATGCCTTTCTTGGAGGACTTTCTAAGGGAAACTGGCTCGTATACACGTTACACATGGGGAAAACCACGAAAACGCCCATGCAGCCAGCCCGTTCGCGGGATTCGAACCTCGGACCGAACTACCAGTGTTCAGCGTCTTTACCGCTCGGCCGCTGGTGGGCTACTTTACATTAAAATCAGCGTATTAATTAAAAAAAAAGGAATCAAAGTATTTATGGAAACAAAAGGAATTAGAAATTAATAACGTTCCATATTAGTATCAAGTATATAATATTTTGCAAACCAAAAGAAAGTCATAATTAAGCACTGTTCTTAATTAATTTTATCTTTGAATTATAATTAACCGAGATTGATTTAGGCCTAAAAGAGTTGTCAGTTTTACATTTCATTAATATTTAGTCAAAGTTTCATTAATATTTAGTTTCATTAATATTTAGTCATTACCTTAATATTTAGTCAAAGGTCTTTCTTAACTCTAAACAATTGCTGCAGAAGCAAAGACTGATATTTTTCATAATCTTCGATAGATTTAAAATTGATAATTGAAGAATAATTTCAATTAATGGCGTTTTATAGCATTATCGAACAAAAAGGCTTTTTCTTAGAAAAATATTAAAGTTTGAGTGTATGTTTATAACTAAGAAAGCTGTGCATTCGTTTGGAGGAAAACGCTGTCTTAAAGAAGTTACATATATTGTTATTTGCGTAAATGACTAAAATATAAAATATAGAAAAACAGCAAAATATGCACTAGAAAAAAGCATTTATCATAGATAAACTAGATTGAAAATTGGTACAAAATTTAAAAAATCATATTTGAGAAAAAAAGACGGGGCGATAGACTTCAACCCTTCAGATAAAGATTAAAATCACACTCTTAAATACTTTTTATATTAAATTCATATTAATATTTAATTTATCCCGTTTTAATTTTGCGTATCTCTTCGTTTTTTTACCTTTCATCTCACGCTTTGCAGGACTCTGTTCAGAAATATTTAATAAATCGGAGTAAGAAATGTTAGATGTCAGAAACAAAAATATATAGCATCTTTAAAAAATAAACGTCTACGACACTTGAAGCAACTTTGTGTAGAAAAATAAAAAAAAAATCGGTGAAATGAAATAATGTTTTACGGAAACATTTTAAAATAAATTCCAAAAGGAAAAATGATTTAAACTAGAGCATATATTTATGCCTCTTCATTCATCATATGTCCCTATCCCTGTATAAGGTATTTCTCCCTCCTTCTTAGCGAGCATTCGTGGTGTAGAGGTCTGCACGCTCAGCGGGTAATTGAGATGAAACGTGGCTCGATTCCCGGTTAAGGACTTGTTCATTTTTCATCTTTCCTGCTTCCAGTTAACCTAATCTCTCTACTGTAGTGTCCGGACTAAAAGGATGATGATTCTCCTCACGCAGCATTTGGCGACAGGGTTCCCTAAAAATCCCAGTCGCCCTTTAAAAGTGGGCGTATATAAGGTATTTCTTCCGCCTTCTTAGCGAGCCTTCGTGGTGTAGTGGTCTGCACACTCAGCGCGTAATTGAGAGGTCCGCGGTTCGATTCCCGGCGAAGGCGTTGATAATTTTTCATCTCTCATGCTTTCAAAAATTACCTAATGTCTCTACAGTGGCGCTCGAACTAAAAGGGTGTTGGATGATGATTCTTCACGCCCAAGATTTTACGATTGGGTACCCTAAACACCCCAGTCGCCTTTTAAAAGGGAGAGTATATAAGCTATTTCTTCCGCCTTCTTAGCGAGCCTTTGTGGTGTAGTGATCTGCACGCTCAGCGCGTAATTGAGAGGTCCGCGGTTCGATTCCCGGTGAAGGAGTTGCTAATTTTTCATCTTGCCTGCTTCTAAGAATACCTAATGTCTCTACACCTTATCTAATTTTTTGATCGTCATAAAATACATTTGTTTCATTTCTGATGGATGTATTAGTTTAAATGTTTCTAGCATAGCAAAGGATTGAAACATAAAAGAGTAGAAAGGCATCCGCCTATAACTTTCCGTTAAATTCGAACTAACTTTTTTAATAATAAAACAAACGAAGTTTTAGTAATACACTGTCTATTAATAAGCATTTAGATACCTGTTATAGAAAAGCAAAATAAACTTTATTCATATTTCAATAATTGGTACAGCCTTCACGAGCGGCATTTGCAGCCTCAAACCTCCGGGGCAGGAGTCCTTGTATGACGCCTATTGGAATATTCTTTCACTCGGCTTGGAGAAGTCATGTACCTTCCTTCACGGATATTGGAAGGTTGTTGGACCCCTCATTTCGGCGACCCAACTTTTTCTAAAGATTCTCGAGAGCGTTCAAGTCTGGGCTTTGGACAGGTCAGTCCATTCGGTTAACCCCATTGTTACCATACGAATCCATGGTGGACCTAGCAACATGACAACTGGCGATGTCGTGCTGAAAGTAATATGGATACAACCCGTAAAACTGCCGCAATGTAGAAACCACACTGTCATCCAAACTAGTGCAGAAGGCATCGTTGTTGAGTTTACTTCGAATTTGAACCAAGGGTTCAGTTCATACCAAGAGAAACATCCCCAGATCATAATTCCATCTCTGCCGAATTTTACTGTGGGCACAATGCATTCTGGCAGGAAGCGTTCTTCAGGCAGACGCCAGACTTAGACCCTGCCATCCAAATGGTAGAGGATTAATTAGTCTTGATTTGTTACTCGACAACTCGTTTCCACTGATCAACGGTCCACTCTCGGCATGCTTTGCATCACATTAACCGAGCAGCAGGTTGGACGTTTTGATCAAAAGGTTATGGAAAGCAGAAAGACCATAAAAACCAATCAGATGTACCTTTATTACTGATGATATTCAGCGAAAAAACACTCTCGGTCACCTGTCGAAACTCCTGTTCCCATCTCCCAAATTCACGGGTCTGCTGACTCGAAGCACATTCCGAGAATCACCGCTCACCTTTCACTTCTGAATCACATAGACCATTGTAAAATTTGGATAATTCAGCTCTCTAGATATACCCTTTAACAGTCACCCATTTTTGTGATATCCGATGATTACACCTTTCTCAAAATCAGATAACTCTGCACTTCCTGGCATCTTGCATGTTATTAATGCCAAAACGTGTTTCCTACACGATATTTAATGGTGGAGCACATGATGTATATTAGGACCTCAGACGCCGGCATTTGCATGGTTGTCCAAATACTTATTGGTAGATAGTGCAGTTTCTTAAAACTAAACACATTATTTTGTTATTTCTTCGAATTTGGTTATTATTTCCTCTTTTCCCGTTAAGGATTATCTTCATAATTCGACAGTGTGTTAATAGCAGATAAAACATATATTGTGGCTTGGAATCATGTGTCTTGGAATAGTTTATTCGATTAAATTAGATACAAGCATACATCGTTTTATAGAGTTTAGCAGATTCTGTACTTTTCTCTAAATTGAAATTTCGCATCAGTCCCATGTTAAGCGAGTCGATCCGTACGATTTTTTTCAAATCACATTCATAGCATTACCTCTCTATGTCATAATTTTAGTAATTTTTGCAATTTTAAGCATTTTCGTTCAATTTTAAGAATTTCATTAAAATTAAGCTAAATGCCAACCTTACGATGGCATTTAAGTGAGTTGTGACTAATATCATATAATAGTTAACGTTTCAAAATTACTTAGTTTAATGTCAATAAATCTGCCCATCTCATGACTGTCTCTCATGACAATCTTTCTATCCCAGAATATAATAGCATTCATGTAAACTGCAGACATTTAATACGCATGCTCTTGATTTTTGCTTTATTTCAAGCATTTTCACTTTACTTAATTAAGAACTATTAAAAATCACCCAACTGCCATGTGAGTTAAAAGAAGTATTTCATTTTAGGTAAATACTAAAACGATTAATCAGTGAGAAGAAGATACATGAAACACCTAGCTAAGTCAAAATTTTAACCCTCATACTTCAGGCAATCAGTCGAATTCTGATTGCAAAAGAAAAAATATTTAAAACAATTGAAACTGGTACTCGAATAATCCCATCCCACAAAAGATAAGAAAGTTATTACCTTATTGATTTATAGATTACAGTATAAACAGCGTAAATGTAACCTTTATATACTTTCAAGTATTTTTTTTCTTCTTTTTACTTCCCTTCCTTTTTCTTAACTGCGATATTAATTTCATTGCCGTAGATTTGAGTCGAACTCGAGGTAACTCGAGACAGAGCCGTGCCAACGAAGTCACCAGGAAGGCACTTCCCTCAGTTAAAAAATAAGAGCAATAAATTAAATTGTAATAAAGTAAATAATAACGTGAACACGAAAAAAAAAAGGGTAATATATTTAGTAGGCACAATTTTGAGATTTTCTTCAAGTATCAAAATCTATCATAACTCCTCTGACTGAAGATACGCTTGTGCGTCTTACCTCACCTGAACCTCAAGTAATATTTAGTAAATTTAGCATTTTACAGAACATTATAAAATGGAAAGAGAATGTCTCATATTAAAGACTGAAAATATTAGTAGCAAAAGTTAGATATGTTACTAGAACCGAAACCGAAAATTTTAGCTTTCTTTCATGAAAAATTAATTTTTCCGAAGAACAAAGAAAATATTGTAGCATCTGATCCGAAAAGGCTTTAATTC